AATGGAAATAACCCATGTAGCCTCCAGATTCAGTCTGCAGGAGGACTGGCAGCTTGTGCTTCCTCCTTCTTGGGATGCTTCTGCTCAGAACCCAGCCCCCATGCTGTGAGAAGCCCAAGCCACAGGGAGAGGCTGTGGGTTGGTGTGCCCCCCAGCCCCCACTGAGCTTCCCGCTGACATCCGGCATCAGCTGCTGGTCACGTGAGTGCCATCTTCATAGTTCAGCCCCGTTGTGCCCCAGCTGACCGCAGCCCCAGCTGACATCAAATGGAGCAGAAGAACCACTCAGCTGAACCCCGTCAGCCTGCAGACTCGGGAGATAGACGACAACTGTTGTTGTTTCAAGCTATTTTGGGGCAGTTTGTTTCACAGAAGTACATAACCGAGAGAGCTTTCCAGAGAAAATGCTGGAACTGAGACTGTGGAGGAGCTCATTCAATTTCCATTATAAGTAGGTCACATTTAAATAGCCTGTACTTGATCCTTATAACTTCTGGATATCACTAGGCAAAATTTTAGAAAGCTCTTATTTTGGAAAGGAGGTGCCTTTAAGTTTGTTTACAGACTACATTAAGGAACTAAGCCTTTTTCATTATTATACTTTTTGGTTCCCTTATTCTCCCAATGAAGTGGTAGGTAAGCAACATATAAGCAGATGCATTATTGTGATTAAAAAGAAAAGCAGTATTTTTCAGCAGAAATAGCATGAATCAGACTTTTTTTTTTAAGATTTTATTTATTTATTTGACAGAGAAAGCTCAAGTAGACAGGCAGGCAGAGGGAGAAGGAGAAGCAGGCTCCCCGCTGAGCAAGGAGCCCGATGTGGGGCTCAATCCCAGGACCCTGGGACCGTGACGTGAGCCGAAGGCAGACGCTTAACTGACTGAGCCATCTAGGCGCCCTTGAATCAGACTTTTGTTCAGATCTCGGCCGTATCACTTAATAGCTTTGTGACCATGGCTAAGTTACCTAAGCTGCCTGAGTCTGTTTCTTTTTTCTTTTTTTTTTTTTAAGATTATATGTACTGTACAGGATTAGTGAAGATAAGAAAATAATATATATTAACAACCTAGCAGAATGCCTGGCACAAAGGTGTGATGTAGCTTTTGTTGTGATGAACGAGATGGTAATGTGATTTTTAAAAGGTAGCAAAATTCTGGCTCATGTTTATTTTTTAAGGGGACACAGAAATATGGGTGCTCCTGGGCTTTATTGGGGTGGAGCCTGAAGGGTTAAAGTGGTATATCCTTGCGATTCTTCCTCCAAATAGGCATGTTTCAGCCAAAGGAAATTCTGATCCCTCACCGATTCACACCACCCTTCCTCACTTCTTTACTGCTAGAGGGGATGTGATTAAGGGATAAAGACAACCTTCTGCTCCTAGTCCCAAGGGGGGGAATGAATGAAGAACTGTTTTTTTTTTTTCTTTACCTCCTGTACCCCCTTTCTTCAGTTACATTCACCTTCTGATTTGATGGGAAACCACTTTACAGGACGCTGGCTTTCTGCAAGCCGATCTTAGCTTCAGGGTGCCACGGGGCTCTTGGAATACCTCTCCAGGGAGGACAGTACACACCCCACAGTCCGATGTGTGTAGCCCAGGGAAAGAACTGTTGTGGCAGCCCACAGGATTTTGTCTCTGCTGTTTTGTCCTAGTCTTTGTAGGATACGTTGCTTACCTTTCTAAGTGCTGCGTGTCTTTAAGATGACAACTAGAGCAGAGCCCGATAATTTCTTTTTCTACAGAATATGTTTGCTCTGAGTGATTAAGGTGAGGTGAGTAGTTGTTGGTACAAGCTGAGGACCACTTTTTAAACTCTGGGTTACTGTTTTGGGTATCTTCTCTTACCTGCCCGACTTGGGCTGCCTGAACCCCATTTTGATTTTTGAAACCTAGATGATTGGCTCTGAATGAAATGCCAATGTATTATACTTGAATGTAATGTTGGTTTGGGACATAAGTGAGGAAGTAGGGCCCATGTATTTTACACTTGATCTTAGCCAAAAGGCCGAGAAGCGATGGGCCCATGTATTTTAACTGGGTGATCTGTAAAGGAATTATAAAGTACCCTAATTTAGCATAAACATTTACTTTGCTTATATGGATTTTGAATATTTACATGAATATTGATTATTGAAATGTTAATACCTCTCAGTATGAATACTATAAATGCTAAGAAACAGATTTCCTGTGATAGGAAATTTCATGTCCATTGTTAGAATCTTTAAGAGAACTCTCACTGCTTTAAAATCAAATAGTTAATGGGGTGCCAGATTGGCTCAGCCAGTTGAGCATCTGACTCTTGGTTTCAGCTCAGGTCACGATCTCAGGGTCCTGAGATGCAGCCCTGCTGAGTGTAGAGCTTACTTGGGAGTCTCTCCCTCTGCCCCTCCCCCTGCTTATGCTCTCCCCCCCTCCCCTCTCTAACATAAATAAGTTAATTTAAAAAATAAAATAGTTAAAGCTAGAAAGCCGGCACAAGATCTTATTTTAAGTATTATTTTAAAATATTGGTTATTGGTATATAAGTGCAGGTTATGGAGAGGATAAGTCATTTTGCCCATAAGCTTGTCACAGTCATAATTACAATTAAGCAAATTGTTTCAGGCTTTTGTAGTTGTTGTTACTGCAGACACATTTTGAGATTTAACGTCCTTTAAATCATTTATAATTATGGGTCAATTTCATTTTGAAAGAAATGGTAATATTTTTATTGCATGCCCACTTAAAGCGTAAAACTATTTAAGAGCAGGGAAGATTGTGCTATACCAAATATAATGTGCTTAAAGCAGAATTTCTCAGGACTTGAGCTCTAAATTTATTGCTTCTGGGACTCATATGCTGGTTGTGTGTGTAGTATAGATTTAGAGAGAGTTTTTAAGAGTCCTGTTGACATAGGTGAGCAGAATGGTTCCTTGGAAACCATTTGAGTGTGCAGTCACAGTAAAGCAGGGATTAAAGGTTCAGATGCATATAGTGTGAACTGACATGCAAGAATGGGAGGTTCGGGGAATCCTGTACTCCCTATTGAACACTGCATTTCTTCCAGCCTTTTAAGGGCTGCTATTTTTTTTTTTAAAGATTTTATTTATTTATTTATTTGAGAGAGAGAGAATGAGAGAGAGAAAGCACATGAGAGGGGGGAGGGTCAGAGGGAGAAGCAGACTCCCCGCCGAGCAGGGAGCCCGATGCGGTACTCGATCCCGGGACTCCAGGATCATGACCTGAGCCGAAGGCAGTGGCCCAACCAACTGAGCCACCCAGGCGCCCAAGGGCTGCTATTTTATAAGGGGGAAAAAAGGCTGCGTTGAAACTATCTGTAAGGTAAAGCTACTGAAACCTAACCCAAAAGGCATGCTTTTTTTTCCCCCCCATTTCTTGGATCATTGCCTTTATTTATTTCACTTATATGTAAACATACATGAGTAGGTTTTTTTTTTTAAGATTTTATTTATTTATTTGAGAGAGAGAATGAGATAGAGAGAGCATGAGAGTGGGGAGGGTCAGAGGGAGAAGCAGACTCCCCGCTGAGCAGGGAGCCTGATGCGGGACTCGATCCCAGGACTCCAGGATCATGACCTGAGCCGAAGGCAGTCGCTTAACCAACTGAGCCACCCAGGCACCCCATGAGTAGGTTTTTACACATAATCATACATAATCAAATGTATTGTTGCTATTATCATTTTGAGCAAACTCTTATCTGTTAGATCAATCAAAAAGAACAAATTTTTTTTTTTTGCCCTCACTTTTTTTTGTTTTGTTTTGTTTTGGTGCTTTTCTTTTCTTCATGTGCATCTGAGTTTCTGACCTATATCACTTTCCTTCTCTTTAAAGAATCTGTTTTACTATCTCTTGCTACTGGCTATAAATTCCCTCAATTTTGTTTGTCTGGAGAAATTCTTTATTTCTCCTTCACTTTAGTGGAAAACTCTTCTTCATACTTGCAGTGTGGTTCTAGCTGAGGACATGTGGTATATATTACAGCGCCCAGGGAATTCAAACCTCTGCAGTGAAATTTTCAAAATGAAGAGCGCTATTTACCAGTGTTTCTTATTAGCTTAACATTAGTCTCGGACTGCTGCGGGTGGGAAGAGGAAATGGAAATATAAGTGGGACCAGAGTGGGGCTACGTGAACACATCTCCCCTTGCCTAGCACCCCTCCTCCAACATCGCTTCACCCTGGGTATTGCAAAGTCTTACAGGATCGTCGGGAACAGGGCTGAAGGCAGAGCTGTCCATGGTTCGGAAAAAAATGTTCTAACTGTTGGTTGAAGATCAGGTAATACCAGTCCTCTTGGTGAGCAAAACTTATTAGAGGGCAGGGGAAGGAATGCTATCTCTCAGCGGCAGGCAAGAAGAAATTGCTGTTGAAAAGCTTACCTCTCTAGGGAGGAATCAGATATCAGACTTTGCCAAGCCTCAGGTCCAACCCATAAGGTCCCACCTACATCCCCCGCCCCATCCCAGCTTTGTTAGATTGCTAGCATCGATCGCTGGCTTTTTCTGACCCAACAGTGGGTGAAGGAAAGAGAGCCGGCAAGACTGGAAGCGAGCAAGGTGGGGGTGGAAAACGGGGGCCGCTTCTTGTGGAGAGAAAAAGAGAAGGGGAAGAAGCGGGGTGGGGGCCATGGGGACTGAGCTTAAACTGGTGCCTGCCTGCTTCTCTTTGATTTGATGGCCTTTATTCCTTCTAATTGGATAAAATAGGAAGTCACTGGCAGTCCTGCGTTGCTGGGTGTACTGATTTTACTCAGAGCATCCAGCAGCTCTGGAGTACGGACAGAGGGAGGAGGGAGGAGAAAGAGAGAGAGAGAGAGAGGGAAAGGGAGAGAGGGAGAGAGAACGTCTTTGGATGAGGAGGGGAAAGGAAGAGAAAGAGACTATGAAGCAGGGCCGAGCGAGCCGCAGAGGGAGAAAGTGAATGAGCGCTCCAGAAGGACAAAGAGGAGTGGCTGGGGGGTGGGGGTGGAGGTAGGGCGGGGAGGGGAGTCACCGCCCCTCCGGGGCCGCACTCTTCCCTTCGGATCCCTCTGCCATGACCCTGTTTGCAGTGATGCTCGCAGGGCAGGCACCTGCTGCTCTATAATGATTCAGCCTCTTCCAGCCGTCGCGTTAACACAACAGGATGCTGTTGCTACTGGCCCTGCTGCCTCTCTTCCCGCCGCCGCCGCCGCCGCCGCTGGTCCTGCTTTTGCTTTTACTTCTCCTGCATGACAGTTGCTTTCTCCATCTAAGCAGACAGCAGCTTCAGATGCTCGAGGTGAGAAACATGCCTTTCAGTTTGGGCTACTGGTTTACCTAATTGACCAACCCTCGGCTCGGTTTCGGTTTTGGCCCCAGTCCTCTTGACCAGCCGGGATGGTTCAGAGAAGCATTTGAAAGAACTGCAAAAGTGGCCCAGAAACAGCCATCACGAATTACAATATACTTGTATTTGGTAGTTGCTAGAGGCTTTTTTTCCTCCTTCCTGCCTCCTGAACTCCTCTTGCTTTTGATAATGGCCTTGGACTTGGAAGACTTATCGATTTCCCCCTGTAAGATGCTGCATCATTTGGTTGGGGGGGGCTCTGCATGGTAATGGACCGTGAGAGAGGCCAGGCCTTCTGGAGGTGAGCCGATGGAGATTTATTCCCCAGACATGTCCGAGGGAGCTGCTGAGAGGTCCTCCAGCCCCTCCACTCAGCTGAGTGCAGACCCATCTCTTGATGGGCTTCCGGCAGCAGAAGACATGCCAGAGACCCAGACTGAAGATGGGAGAACCCCCGGACTCGTGGGCCTGGCAGCTCCCTGCTGTGTGTGCCTGGAAGCCGAGCGCCTGAGAGGTTGCCTCAACTCAGAGAAAATCTGCATTGTCCCCATTCTGGCTTGTCTAGTCAGCCTCTGCCTCTGCATTGCCGGCCTCAAGTGGGTGTTCGTGGACAAGATATTTGAGTATGACTCTCCTACTCACCTTGACCCTGGGGGGTTAGGCCAGGACCCTATTATTTCTCTGGATCCAACTGCTGCCTCAGCTGTGTGGGTAGCATCTGAGGCATACACTTCACCTGTCTCTAGGGCTCCATCTGAAACTGAGGTTCAAGTTACACTGCAAGTTGACAATGCTGTTGTGTCCTCCCAACCTGCAGCGGTACCCACCCCGAAGAATCGTATTTTTGCTTTTTCTTTCCTGCCGTCCACCGCACCATCCTTCCCTTTCCCCACACGGAACCCCGAGGTGAGAACACCCAAGTCAGCAACTCAGCCACAAACAACAGAAACTAATCTCCAAACTGCTCCTAAACTTTGTAAGTAGAGAGAGAGAGGTGATGAATAATGGAAAGGGGTGGGCTTGAGGCGCCAAAAGGCGTTCTCTAGCGCAGGGAGCTGTTTCCTTGTCTTCTTCTATTTTAATTGCATGGTTTTGTTGAAGCGCATCATGTGACTGGAACACTTGGGGTGGCCGTGAAGAGATGAGTAAAATGATCTTGCAAACCGCTGGTGTGAAGCAGCGTTCCCTCCAGCCAGATTGTTCACGGGCTGGGGTGGGGGGACACCCCCAGCTTGAGCATCTGCGAGTCGTGCTTGAATGTCACTGCAGTTCCATTGATTTCTAACACTTTTTAAAAAATTAAGACAGCAGAGCATCCTTTCTGTTTTATATGAGTGTGACTTCCATAGAGCGGCGAGTGTGGTTTCGCGTCTCTCGTTCCCATGTAGCCTTCCCTCACCCCTCCTCACCCTTCGGTTCCCCTTGGCCTCCCAGCAGCCCCACACCACCTGGTATCTGCCTCCATCCCTTCTTCCTGTTCCCTTCACTGCTCTCTGCTCTCACCACATTTCTCTTATAATTGGTTCTTCCTGATAGCGCAGTCACCGTGCTCAGCCCCCAGCGGCGGCGGGCTCTCCCTGTCCTGCCCAGATTGTCATTTAGGCTCCTGAGCACTGGTGAGGGGCAGCTTTATTTTTTTCAGGATGCAGCACAAAGTCTGCATGAAGGGATTTTCCCAAGTTAGTTTTGTCTTCTGTAATCAAATGTTTAAAGAGCTTCCTTGGCAGTCATTAAAAAGTACAAGATCCATTAGGAAGGCACATCGTTTTTGTTTTGTTTTTTTTTTTGTTTTTTTTCCCAGACGTGTCATTTTTTGCCCGGCAGCCGCGCAGTTTAATAACCTGTGAGTGAGGAGAGCCCACGCTCTTAAAACAGTACAGAACAATGTGCTCCTGTTCCGACTGGGGCCCCGCGATGCTTTTACAATGGAAAGTTGACAGGAATGAAACCATGACTAGTCAGATTGCTCCAAATGCCAGTAGAGAGGGAGGAGTTTCCTCTAGCTGCTTCTTTTTTTTTTTTTTAAGATTTTTTTTTAATTTATTCATTCGAGACACAGAGATACAGAGAGAAAAGAGAGCATGAGCAGCGGGAAAGGCAGAGGGAGAGGGAGAAGCAGGCTCCCCGCTGAGCAGGGAGCCGGACGTGGGGCTCGATCCCAGGACCCTGGAACCATGACCTGAGCCAAAGCAGACGTTCAACCATCTGAGTCACCCAGGCGCCTCTCCTCTAGCTTCTTTTTTATAAATGTTTCTGATTTATTTTCATCTCTCTGTCTTCTACCACTTTCTACCATTGATGAATATTCCCTTAGTAGAAAAAAGTGAAAGATGAGAGGATTTCGTTCTTAATAACGTGTGTAAAATCTCTTAGAGTTGAGGGTAAGAGTTCCGTGATGAAATACTCACCCCTTCTGTTTCCCTCTGGATGCTAAGGAAGAATAAAGAATATCTTTTCCAGACATTATGTTGCGAATGAGGGAGAGCCGTGTGGTAGAGAAACACAGAAAACTTGATTTGTGCTTGTGATTCAAGATCGTTTCATACACAGCAGTTTCAGTGGCAAAGATTAAAAAAGAGAGCGAGAGTCTTGTTTTTCAGGTGTAATTAGGAAAGAACCTCCTTTCTGCAGACACTGCTTTGTATCTTTATCAAATCCCTGAAGCATCATTAAAGGTCTGACAGACATCACTGCATTCATCGCCTCTTCCCACCTGGCAAAGTGACCGGGAAATAATACCCAGATGAAATGACAGGCTATAAAAAGCAAGTACAGATCCTGCAAAGAGAAGCAAAATTCACCGTGAAGACAAGGTTACTTCTTTGTCTTTATCGCTTGAAACTTGTCTTTAATTAAAATGTGCCCAAAGAGGTTTAGTTGTCCAGAAAAAGAAAGAGGACCCTTTGGGGGGGAAAGAAAAACAACAACTCTTCAAGTAAAGTCTGTAATTTTGTCACCTTTGGGGGCGGTGGGGAAGCAAACAAAGAACCATCCAGTTACCTTTTCCTAATCTAGGACCATGTCAAAAAGTATGTTGTGACTTTTTGAGAAATTATTTTTGAAGGTAAATTCTTCTACTAAGTGTTTTCCTAGGGTATGCATTCCATATAGTTTCTCTTCTCTTTATTTTTGAGCTTGGGCATTGATTTTCTGGCATTTGCATTGAGTGGAAAAGATTTATTGCGGCCTAAAAGCATCGCAGTGGCCAGTTCTGGCCAGAGACACAGCTGCAGCATTTTGAAGTGCGTTGGAGATCAGCCTGGAAAAGCAGTATGAGAAGTAGTTTTCTCCTGAAAAGTTAGACGTAGACGGTGCTTGACACTTTACAGCCTATGGGTTTTCTGTGTGGGAAACTCTGTGTTAATTTTTTTCCGCCTAGTGCCTGAAAACAACAAAAACACTAATATCCTAAAAATTAGGAGTCTATTTTTGGGGGGGAGAGGGATGGGAGATTGGTCCAGGGAGCTTTGCTTTCAGACACTCCTATGAGTGGTTGCTTTGTTGTTTAAAAAGCTTGTAACCATGCACTAAAGGAAAGCAAGGAAAAAAAAAAGCTTGGAGTCAGACTGTCATTTTGTAACCTCGTTCACTTTTTTTCCCTTCAACTCAGAAAGTACTGCTTAGTCCCAGGAAGAACAAGAGCGTTCCTTTCGTCATGTGTGTTTTTGACATGAGCTACGCTGTGGTGGTATGCATCTTAAGACGGCATTATCGTATCTGAAACATGCTCCTCAGTGGTTTCAAGATGTTATTCTCCCTTTCCTATCTGTCTGAGCATATTCAGCATATTATGCACAGAGCTGTATCCTTCAAGGTCATAGTCTGTGGAGGGCTAATTGATTCTTCTTTATCCTGGAGCCTGAGAGAGTGGAACAGAGACAATCCTAGTAATTGTGTCTGCTCCATTATTCCCCAACCAATCTACCTTCTAGTATTATTAGGCTTTTATTCTATAAACACTGGAATTACTCCCCTTCCCACCGACTCTTTTAAAGTTAAAACATTCTTTGGCTTTATTGTAATAAAAGGCAATGTATAACATTTTAAATTGCCTGTAAGAATAGTGGTTACATCAGGTTTTCTAAAATGGGCATTTTCTCATAAGGTAATATAATTTCATGTTTTCACTAGATTAATCTATGCATACATCTAGAGCTCAAGAGATCTAATGCAGGATTGGAAAATGTATATATACTTTTTTTTTTTAATTTAAAGTTTTTCTGTGTGTGTTAGTGGCTTCCCACTACCACGTTTTTATTTGCCATGGTAATGGTTAAGTTTTTATTTCTCACTGGGGCACAAAATACTTGAACCATTAATTTGTTTTCTTTGCCTAGGCTTTAAAATTTATCTTAACCTCTGTTTGTATGGAAAGAACTGATTCCAGGAGATTGCAAACTTAGATTACTATAAAAAGAGCTGATTAATTAAATTGTCACAGGGAACCGTAGTGCCATCTTGGAAGAAAATGTATTTCTGGATGGGAGAGCCTGCTTGACAACAGACTCTGTAGTGTAAGAGTGTATTAGTATTTTCATCTTAGGCCAGATTTGTTTTGCTTTGTCTTAAGTCTCTCTGTACTGGGTTGCATGGCAAACCATTGTTACCACAGTGACAATAGGAATCACCACCATTTGCGAAAGCTCAACGTGATTAATTAAATATACCAAAGGATTTCTTCCTTTCAATTTAAAAGTGACATTTATTTTAAGCGCAAGAAATTCTTCTAGTTCCTTGCAACTGTACTTGTGGGTATTTCAGAGTGGTGATTTCAGATAACTTTTCTCCACTTTAACCCAAACTTGTTTAAAGCCCAAGACATTAAAAACTGGGAGAAAGTGAAAGATCCTCGACTGAAACCAAATAATTTGATAAATTCACTGGTGAGGAAACCCGGGCTCTGAAAGATGTAGTGACATTCTTTTACAAAAATTCACAACATTCTGAAAGGTTTAGTGAAATCCAAAATAGTAGAACACAGAGTAGTGTCCTGGCCACCAGAATTTAAACCCACACTTGGCTCTTTTCTCCTGTCAGCTTTTCCCTGGTCCAGAGAGAAAAGAGCTGGAGACCAACTCTGGTGGCTTCAGTGGCATCCAACGGACAGGAACATATGTCAAGTGGGACCACTGATCAAGCATGTATAGTTCATACTATTAAAATTCGGTTTCCTTCCCGCCTTTTTGTTTCGCTTTTATTAAATTTTCAGTAGTGCTAGTCTTTTCCCTTTTTATTTGATCATCCATACAGTGTCTAGCTCGCTGTTGAAACAGATCGGGTTTTCCAGAGTGGGCTCTTTGCTGGCATCAAGCAGATGTCTCTGCGGCTCACCTCTTGCCTGCACTGCACCCCCCCCACCCCGTTCCTCCTTGTTCCTTGATGATCCCTAGATCGGTGTTCTTCCTTCCTCTGCCTTCCCACCCACCCAGTTATCTCTTAAATCATCCTTTATTTTTCTAATGATGCCACTTTGCCTTTATTTATCAATATTTCATTGCATCCTAAACTACTAAAGCATCTTCACTGATCTTTTCACATACTTTATTGCATCGTAATACTGAATGGTATTTATACTTATTACAAACACACATACAAAAATATGTCTCTAGGACAATATACTTGTTTCTTATTGGCACAGTTAATTCAAACTTTTGTCCCTCTTCCGGATCGCTCCCTCTTCTTTTCCATATTGTGATTCACACGGGTTTCTCTGCTGACTCTTCTGCACGTTTATACGAATCAGCATTTCTGCTTTCCCAGAACCTCATTATGTCCCAAGCCATATATCACTGTTCTTCCTCCTTCCCTTTTCCTTTTCCTCTCACCTCACAGGATCCTTTTAAAGTGTAAAGAAAGATATTTTATAGATTGAGAAACTGAGTCATAAGAAAGTTATGACTTGTCGAAAGTTGAGCTTGGAGCCGCTGAGAGCTAGAACATAACTCTCATCTAGTGAATCTGTTCGAGCTTTCTAGT